AGTGAGAAAGCAAGCCTCCAGGTCCAGGATTCGAATTGTGGTCAGCCATGTGGGAATCCAGCGCCCTTAACCACCACTCCATCTGCTGGCCCTCCCCTGTGTTTTAAGGCCCCACAAATGATACCGAAATCCAACAAAACCAGACTGGCCCATAGATACAAAAAAGAAAACTTAGCCTGAGAAAAAGATATAGGACACAAAATCTATTTGCATATTTCTCCTCTTCTCAGTAATAGGTACCAACATACACAGGTTAGTAACTGTAAAATAAAATCCTAAGGTAAATCATGAGCTACACAGAAAACATAACAAAGAAATCACCAATCATTCGGCTGAGTTTGACTTCAGTCAAACTTCACAGCAAAATGATCGTTAACCCTTTTTATTTTTCTGTTTAGTTTGCTCTGTCTCTCTCGGTCTCTCTCCAGTAAGGGCACCTGCCCAGTGCACTCACTAGAGAACCTGCGAGAGACAGAGAAACAGGGAAAATGAGAAATCACCCCTGAGGGGGGTGGGCATGCCGCAATCCCTTCTCCTCCATTCTCCTCCTGGGATTTTGGGCACGCACATATACACGCACACGTGCACACATGCTTGGTGTGTTTTTAAAGCCGCTGGGTCTGGACTTGAACTGTGTAGTCAGCCGTGTGGGCTCCAGTCTCCTTAGCCATCACACTCCCTGCCGGCCTCCTTTCAATATTTTTAAACAACAGGGAACCAGCAGTTGGCGTAATGGCTATGTCGCTGGACTCCCACGTAGTCGACCGCAGTTCGCGTCCTGGACCCGGTGGCTTAGAACTCAGGCCGGGCACGTGTGTGTGCGTGCCCAAGATCCCGAGAGGAGAATGGAGGAGAAGGGATTGCGGCGTGACCGTCCCCCCTGGGGGTGATTTCTCGCTTTCTGTCTCTATGTCTCTGTCTGTCTGGCGAGTGCACGTGCCCTATAGCAAAAACCTCTCAAAAAAAATTTTTTTTTTAAACAACAGAGACATCGTATTTCCCATGGCATGCCGATATATATGGAAAGCCACTGGGAAGCCTTCTGGGTGGGCCGACGCAGCCCTGCACTGGGACCATACCGGGCCCCGCCCCCAGCCTCATGGCGGCACAGTCAGTGATGCTCCCGCCAGGCCGCCCTTTCCTCCCCCTC